TTCGTCTCAGCCACACCAGCCATCGGCGCACAACGGCGTACCACCCGCAGACCAACGGGCTGACGGAGAGACTCAACAAGACCATCGCTGACATGATCTCCATGTACGTCGACGTGGAGCACAAGACATGGGACGAGGTGTTGCCGTACATCACATTTGCCTACAACACGGCCGTGCAAGAGACCACCGGGGTGACACCCTTCCAACTGGTTCATGGTCGTAAAGTAACGACAATGCTGGACGCGATGTTACCCCACGAACCGGCTCTTGACGGAAGCGACGACGCCCAGGTGGTTGCCCAACGGGCAGAAGAAGTCCGTCAGCTCGCCAGACACCGTATTCAAGCCCAACAACGTGTCGACACTGGCCGCTACAACCTTCGTCGTCGGGACGTCCACTTCCAGCCCGGAGACAGGGTGTGGGTGTGGACACCGATCCGCCGCCGTGGTCTCAGTGAGAAACTCCTAAAGCGCTACTTCGGACCCTACAAAGTACTTCGTCGACTCGGGGATCTGAACTAGGTGATGCCCGACGGAACACGGACTTCATCACGCCGCGCTCCACGACCGGAAGTCGTCCACGTCGTGCGCCTCAAGCCGTACTACGCGCGATAAGACTGCGAATTGTGTTTTGCGAGCCTCCGTATGTTCTCATTTTTTTTTTGTTTGTTTCGCTCTGTTTTGTTGCCTTTTACGTGGCATCGAGACGATGCCTTTTTAAAGGGGTATTTTTGGCACAAGTTCGCCACATTAAACGTTTATTTCTTCCTGTTTATTTGTTATTTTTGGTCACTACCCGTGACAATAACACGCTGGAAAGTTGCTGGCGCCGTACATAGTCCGAAGGGCATTACCTTGAACTCGTACAGCCCATCCGTCGTGACGAAAGCTGTCTTCTCTCGGTCCCGTTCGTCGACTTCGATCTGCCAGTAGCCGCTCTTCAGGTCCATCGATGAGAAGTATCGAGAGTGGCGCAGCCGGTCTAACGTGTCGTCGATCCGGGGGAGTGGGTAGACGTCTTTCTTCGTCACCGCGTTCAGCTGCCGGTAGTCCACGCAGAACCGAAGCGCTCCGTCCTTCTTCTTAACCAGTACGACTGGAGAGGCCCACGGACTGCTTGATGGTTGGATTATGTCGTCGTTCAGCATCTCTTGAACTTGCTCCTGGATCACCTCCCTTTCTTTAACGGAGACTCTGTACGGTGATCGATGCACAGGGCGCGCGTCGTCCTCGGTAATGATGCGGTGCTTCGCAACGGCTGTTTGGCGTACTTTCGACGACGTCGCAAAGCAGTCACGGTATTCGGCGAGGAGGTTAATCAGCTGCCGTCGTTTCGGGTCCGGAAGCTTAGGGTCGATGTCGAGTTGCGCTGGCGACGTACCGTCTTGCTGAGGTGGCGAGGATTCATCAGTAATGGCGGCGATTTCGGCGGAGTTTCGGAGATCCTCGACGTGGCCAACGGCTGCACCTTTTGTGAGGTGTTGCGTTTCATTCCGGAAGTTCGTCACGAGGACCACAGTGCGGCCGTCCTAAAGTTCAGCTACTCCTCGTGCGACGCCTATTCCTCTTCCCAGGAGCAACTGGAGGTTACCTTCCAGAAGAACTTCGCTACGGGTAGCTGCATCGGTCACGACAGGTACAACACTTGATCGCGGCGGCAGATTCACGTGGTCGGCAGCGACTCGGACGGCGGCTGACGCAGTTTGGAGTTTCTCTGAAGGCGGAACAGGTGTCCGCAGCGTCAATCTGTTTTCTCCAAGGTCGATGACGGCGCCGTATTCACACAAAAAGTCCATGCCGAGAATGACGTCTCTGGAACAGTCTTGTAGAATGACGAATTTCACAGGACACGTCTCGCCGTGAATTTCGACGCGAGCGGTGCACCTTCCGACAGGCGTGATGAGGTGTCCTCCGGTGGTTCGTATCTGCGGTCCATCCCACGGCGTCGTGACTTTTCGAAGGTGGCGAGAGAGCCTCCCACTCAATACTGAGTAGTCTGCCCCGGTGTCAACGAGTGCCGATGCGTTTTGGCCATCGATAACAACGTTTAGGTTGTTGGACACCGTTGCAGGCGCGTCGGTGCAATGCGGGGCGTCGAGAGAGTGGGAGCGCTCCGGCGTTCTTGGAGGCTGTTTGTTTCCGTCGTTTTCGGCAACGTCACCTCCAGGCGTTGCCGCACTCAGTTTTCCCGACGACGCAGGGGAGACAGGCTCTCTCGGCGGGATCGTGGCGCTGGGGAGGCTGAACGTCGTGGCGATGGGGAGCGGGCTTCACGGCGGAGAGACGACACTGGGGAGGGCGAACGTCGGAGGTACTCCTCGATGTCGTGAGAGCGTTCGCCGTACCTCGGGCGTGGGTTGTTCGGGTGGAACCCACGCAGGCCCATTTGCCGGTAGGGACAACGACGGTAGATATGGTCGGCCTCCCCGCAGTGGTAGCACAACGGGCGTCGATCGGCCGTCCTCCACACGTCGGTCTCAGTTCGTGGAGCAGCTTGTTCTGGGCGGACGTACGCCCGATCTTCATGGCGTCGTGAATACTGCGGCGCTAGAGGTTCACGTCGAGGCGGCGCCGTATACGGGTGAGCAGGGGGTGGTGGTCGTCGGGTAGCTGCGGCGTAGCTCAGCTTCGGTGGTTCAGGAGCGGCGCTGGCGAGAACTTCTGGCTGCAGCGCCTGCTGAAGTTCTTCCCGGACAATCTCGGCGACTGAGGGCGTAGCCAGGCTTGTGGCAGCAGGTAGCAACTTCTTCAACTCCTCCTGGACGGCTTCACGGATAAGGTCACGGATGCCGGGGAGGGTGGTACCCAGGTCGGATCCAGATGTCGCTAGAGTAGTTACGCCAGGGTGTCGTTGGTAGTGTCTGGCGCGGGCTAGCAAGGCCCGTTCCATATTTGTCGCCTCCGTGATGAACTCGTCGACTGTTGTTGGGGGATTCCGGATGAGACCGCCGAAAATCTCGCTTTTCACACCCCTCATCAGGTGGTGCAGCGTCTTCTCCTCGGTAGCCTGAGGATCGGCGCGGGCACTTAGGCGGAGAACATCCTCCACGAAGCCGGTAATGCTCTCGTTGGGACCTTGAGTCCTGCTACGAAGTAAGTCTTCGGCTCTCTCTCGGCGGTGCTGGTTGACAAATGTCGCCTTCAGCTGGCTCTTGAAAATGTCCCAGGATGTCAATGAAGACTCGTGATTTTCGTACCAGCTTCTGGCAGTCCCCTCGAGCGAGAAATACACGTTTTGCAGCCGTTGCTCGTTGGTCCAGCTATTGTGGCGGGCGACGCGTTCGAATTGGTCGATCCAATCTTCAACGTCTTCGTGGAGTTCGCCGTGGAACGGAGCCGGTGTCCGAGGAGCGACGGGTAGGTAGACGACGGCAGGAGCGGCGGGGGTCTGCGACTGGTTGGCCATCGTCGGCTGCCTGGCCCTGGGTGGTAGAAGTCCGTATTCCGGGTTTAGCCCTTGGGTGCGGCGACTTGATCGAGTCTCGATCTGGTCTTCGTTATGTCCTCGGGAGCTTGGATTCGGACTTGTACTGCGGGAACTCGGAGGGCTGCGCTGCACGAACATGCGGTACCCCGCACCTCCACCAGAATGTCACGGGTGGTGAGTCGTGACCAATAAACAAGAAATAAACAGAAATAAATAAACGTTTAATGTGGCGAACTTGTGCCAAAAATAAAGAAGGAAACAGAAGAAAGCAGAGCGTCGCGGGCGTCGAAGTCGGCGTGTCAGCAGAATCGAGCGCTAGGGCGAGACTGACTCGACAAGGTCGCGGGCGGTTTCTTATCTAGAGTGCGCCGCTATCTCGAAGATTCGGCGAAAGCGGTTCGAGCGTCGCGTGATCGGGCGAGAATGAACACGCACTTTCTAGAAAACAAAAGCAGGGATAAATGATAGAAGTTACGTGCGGTACATGAATAAACGGGAACTTTCTGGAGGACCGTGACCGAGCGTTGCTTTCTCAGCCTTGCGCGCGGCACTATGACAACTGAACGTTGCGCCGCGTTCGGTCCTGTGGGTGTAGTCCTAGGTTGATTGCACTGCACTGCGCCACTTTCCCATGGTAGTGTCCTAATGGGGTAGCCTGTTGACAGAATGATTCGATTAATGTATCTAAAAAAAACTATACTTCGTTTCTAATTACGGTGGATTATGGCGGACCTTACGAGCTATCTTAGTTAATTTAGCGTATCAAATGACAACGCATTACTGCGCCGCACTTAAAGGTCACCCGTTTCCAAGGGTTCATATAGCAAATTTTAGAAAAAATTGAGGATACATGTTTTTGTAATTGTCGCGCGAAAATTGCAGAATTTCAATTTTTTTTAGGAATTCCAAAAACTTCCGGGCACGGTGCAAAACCCCAAAAAAGAAACTTACAATTGTTTAGCGCTAGCTTTTCTGTTAAAATCGAACAAAACATAAAATACTCCGTACAAAATGTTTCTGTCGAATAACTCAATTTTAAGATAAGCTAAAAAAATGCCACAACATAAAAGGGTCGAACAAAAGGCAGGTTTGCCATTTAATTGTACTGTATACTTAAATAAACTAAATCTAACCGCTTCAAGTAGAGCAATCGGCCTGCTTTATACATAGATATATGTTTTTGTGAAACTTTTGCTTATTTATTTTTGTTTCTGTGGCCCTAAAGAGGCATCTACACGTAATTGTGGAAAATCGTGCTCCAGCTGCTTTAAAAAGCGATTTTTTTTTATAGGAAAACCAAGACGTTTTGTGCACAAATTAAGACTCACTCCGTTGTAGCGACATGTTTTTTGCTACTTTATATGAAAATTTCATTGAAAACAAGAAATGGCATGACACACCGATGACCGTCCTTACCTGAACACACTCGGTGCGTGACTTGTTGTACCGATGACAGCAAACAGACAAAGACGACGAGGCTGTCTTTGAGTGTTCACAACGTAAATTAGAGCCTTTTTTTGTCTTTTCGGTTCAGTTGGGGAGTTGGATGCTGGAGTCAAAACACATACAGTTCATTCGAGAGCATAATTGGTCAGCGGGACTTTATTTTTTCTTGAAATAAATACTGCGAAGGACACTGTGAGAACAAGTACTCTCAGACAAACAGACAAAATGTCGATCAAACGGGTGATTTCGAGAAGCACACCGAAATTTTGTTTGACCAGTGCTCGTGGTATCTCGCACATTTTTTTTTAGCATAAACAAAGTGAAGAAGATGGGGAACAACTCGGCTATAGTACACACACTTGGGGACTAAGAAGCGGGATTGTATATTTTAATATTCAAATGTAAACATTTCATATCCAGTAACGCCATGGCTTGTAACTGCCTGCAGTTTCCACAAAACAAAAGAACATTGTGTATGAAACGAAAACCATTAGCTCGACGGTGGATCGGTCCCTCTAAATGTACAACAGCGATCAGCACATTGGTTTAACGAGACATGGCTAGCTCCATGCACTTTCTTTATTTTTTGTACTTGGTCGCCAGAGTTTTTATGCGCGCAGGTATGTTTGCATTGCCCAAATAACAAACAACGACAACACAGAGACGCGAGTAGAAAAATCACGCACGCTAAACACAAACTTGGGAACCAAGTCCTTGTTGCTTCAAAGAAAACTCGTCCCGTGAGCTCAACATTAAGTACCACACAACACTACGATGCACTGACGACGACAAAAGCCACAACAATTAAGTAAAAAAAAACTGCGTCGGTAACGCAACTATGTACATGCAACGCACCACTGTATTGAAACGGCACAGAAAAAACAACAACACTGGGATTGACATCACATGGGAGTTCAAGTAGTACCAGTCGGAGATATAGGCTGCATACAACATTGCTGCAAACGTTGAAGTTTCAAATCAGTTGTGGTGCAGGGAACGCACCAAACAGAGGACGACCACTCAAGTCTGAAACGGCATTCGCCAACGCCAAGCCTAACATGGCGGCCATCAGTTCGTTCCAAACGCGATTAGGCGAGAGTTGCCGTCTCGTTTCGCGACACTATCCACTCAGAACTCACGCGTGACTTCGCTTCGATGCGCTATGTCCGTATATTTAAGGTTCAACTAAGTGCAGGTAAGGGTGAATAGGATTAACTGGATTTCGTTCTGTATTCGCGCTTATACATCTGAGAGAAATATACTGCGCGTTATATATATATAGATCTAACAAATTAAGGAGATATATGTGCGCTCGTGTACCTTCATGACGTCAACCTCTCACCTGATGCCTTACTACTTCCCACAAAGTATATGATCAGACTACATTTGTCTGCAAAGCGAAACGCATTTTTAGAATAAATGGTCCGTGCGTGAAGGCAATGTCTCCATCCGGCCTTCTACTTTTCTCGTTGACCGTCAAAATTAACAAGGCACGCCAGTTATTTATTTATTTTTTACGCAGGCACTTCCTTGTTTTTTGTTAACTTTTCTCGCAACGACAATTTTTAACCGGACAATATTGACGGCACACTATGACAGTTTGAAATGACGTCTTCTGTGATGTCTTTCCCGGAATGTTCCTGTGTGTGCTGGTGCAGTGGAAAAAGCTGCAACGTGAATACCTAAAGTCGTGTCATGGCACCTACTCAACGTACTCCCGGGTTATTTTCACGTGCCTAAAAATCTTGAATAATTTGGGTAGTAGAAGCAATGGCTGTGCTAGGAACCATCGGATCCTAACGACTGGGCAGAAGTGGCTATATTTCAACTATCTTGGTCCCATACTGTTCAAAGGCAGCTGTTTCATTTCTTTCTTTCTTTTTTTTCTACTTTGAGAAGCGCTAGCTGCACTAGAAAAAAATACGTTCGCGTGCACATTGATTTTAAGGTACAGTAGAAGGCGTGTGACGTGGACGCAATAGTTGAATACGTGTGGAGTGTCAGTGTGATACGCGCAGGTGAACTCCTACCATGAGCCCAAACAGAGAGAGCTAAGACGAGAAGCCAACCAAAAATAAAATCAACACGAACACGACAAAACACAACGAGTGAACTAAATCCTACCTAGCAATATATCCCGACCGACAAATTCATAGAGCAAGGTGTTTAAAGAATCGACGATCACAACCGCACCACAAACATACTTTTAGGCGATTTACACAAGCGAGACTAGATGAGAAACAAAATCCTGTTGGTCTCAAAACATCATTACGGCCTATAATACACATTATTCCGCAGTGTCAGTACCAAGAGTAAATGGCGGGAATCACTAAAAATGGCTCCATGGAATTCTAGAGTGTATTCCGGCGTAAAGCCGCTCCCAGCGTTACCGAGGAGTAACAATCACCGTTTGCCATCCAATACAACAATACAACTTCTTGAAGTCGTATGTTTGTTTTTGTTGTTGTTGTTTTCTTTAAATTATATTGCATTTTTGTTTTTCTTGTTCCTGTGTTGTAGTTGTGAGGTGTTTGTTTTTGCTTGAATATCTCGATGAACGTCGGTGTCTCGGTTTTTTTTAGCGATACTTAGTTCTGAAAAAGAGAATGCCTGAACTATACTTTCTTTACGTGTTTACAATCTTCTCTCTGGCAGGATTGTGGAGAGACTGCCACTAAATGCACTGGTAGGGGTTACCAAAGTCGATATGCGGACCGTCTAGTTTATTATAAATTATACTAGATAAGGGCTAAAACACTGTACATAAGTTAATAAATTACAAGACGCCATGGGAGCGAACGTGGACTCCATTTTCACAACGCCAACAATTGCTAAAAGAAACTCGACAACGCAATGACATAAGCACGTAAGAAAAAAAAAAAAAAAACAACTAAACGAGAAATGTTTCTGAGCTTTTTCCACACTCATCTTGTAGATCAACAAATGACAACATTCACGCCGATTTCCGAATAACAACATGAAACAACGCGCACCAATCTCGGAGAAGACCATCTTGAAAGATGAAGAACCCAGGAGATAAGAAATGTCCGCGCGATGTCCACTGAAGGCTTTCCTTTTTCACAACTCAGGTAGGCACCTCGAAGGACGTTGCTTGATTTTTTTCTTTCCTTGCTTCTTGGCGAGAAACGTAGTCACAAAAAACAAAAATGTCCGCGCAGTCCCTTCTCTTCGAGGCGTCGAACGTAGGAGCGATGAAACGAAACTTGAAAGCGACGTAAAAAGTCAACAACGCCAAGCGACTGGGGCGTCATTGGCACCTTTGGTTGCGGAAGGAGAGAGGCACACGCGTGCGCATTGTAGCGGGGAGTAGGCACCGGATCGCAGTCGGATATGACGTCAGGGGTGTCGACCGCTTCTGCTTCAGCGAATCATGAGGAACATGGCACACGAGAGCACCATCCCGACGACCTGAGGAAACGAAACAAAACAGAGAGCAGGATGTAAAGACCTTGTTTCAAAGTACGGGGTGAATGCCACCAAAACTCAGCCGGATCAGGTAAAACCCCTTTGTAGTTTTGCAGGCAGCAATAACCGAAAAAATCATGACGGAGCAGATTTTGAAAGTGAACGTAAAGCACATCGTAATGCCTGCACCGTGAACTTTCAGTTCACGGTGCAGGCGGGGAGCGCTTTTGATACATGGGCACGAATGGACGCTAAACACACCAGTCGGAGACGCACTCCAGGCACCATAGTATTTCTGCAGTTTTAATGGGTTTATTGAGCGGGGGACGTCCACTTCTTGCATTTCGCCTATGGCGGGCGTAATTTCGAAATATGTCTGCGTGCTTGAGCGATAAATCGGCACCCTGCTTTACAAACACGTCGGCGTCTGCCCACACCAGGTGTGAGCATTGCGCATGCGCAGAAGACATATTCGCGTTACGTCACGTATGGGCAACAGGGAGTACACTTCAGGTGGGACACTACAGGGGGAACACCCTGCAGTTTAAAACTTTGAAATTCATCCAGATCAAACCACGAATCTTTAGCAAGTTTCCGGGAAACAAACAAAGCTCTGATAAATCCAGCAATAAGGTAATATCGAAGAGTTATGACTTACCAACAGACAGGAGATGCCGATGCCTATTCCACCTACAATGACAGCATGTCCCTTGACAAAATCTCGAACTTTCTCGTGACAGCTCTGAAGGGCAAAAATAGACATGTTCCTTAGAAATCGAAGAGCAATAACGAAACAATATAGGAAAAAGCATTCCACCATTTAATACGGTTAGCTCCCATCTCCATCCAAACCCCCCAAATTAGCACGCCGACACGCGTTAATGTGCCTAAATTGACACCGAAATATGAAAGCACAATTACAAAAGCTGGTTTTGTTATTACGACATCGCGTAACTCGTCAACTAAGAAGGTGTTCTTATTGGCAAGATGTAGTTTTGTTTTCTGGAAAAGTGCGGCCTCACATAAATTTTGTGTATTGCATGGGCTTGCGCTATTCTTGGTTTACCTCCATCGGTTCGCTTCACAATTATATCTATATATTCAGCGCGTGTTCAAGTCAATCCTGTGTGAACCTACAGTTTATTCGACTGTACGCAACAGAACAGCCAAAAAAAAAATTTGATTTGCCGTAACTATATGTGGTGGCAATTCAATTTTACGAAACTAAAGATTATAGCACGAGGTCGTTCACTTGGCTAGATCAGATCCATTAAGAAAGCCTAGATTAAACTAATGGTTTGTACAGGTCACTAAGATGCACTATAATTTCGAAAAACAAAGAATAGACATCAGATATATCTTACAGTAATGAAGATTCCCAAATGAGCTATTCTTAACTGAAATACGCCAAAAATTCTCTCAGATAACCATTGACCGTCAAGGGGAAAGCTTTAGCCTAAACGAAACACACAAATATCTACAGGGTGTTTTCGAGCGCTATTCGGGTGCAAAATATGTATAAATAAACCAATCAATTCAATACAATTACATTTTCCACAAAGGTGTCTCGAGATCGTGAACTTATCGCACTCAAATTTCATGGGTGTAGGTTTTGAAAAAGCAAAGAAGGCCTAACAAAAATCCTGCATCACCCCATGCTCAGGGAGAAAAACGGTAGTCCCGTTTGGTTGATGCTACTAGTCACAGGTGGCAAAAAAATAAAGCAAAAACGTGAAAACGTCTGAGATGAACATCCTAAAGCAGATCCAGCACATATCCGAGCACAGGCGATACCATCTGTGAGAAGCCACGTTAACCAAACAGTTTTACCATTTTTCCACCATGTATACAAGACAAAAAGTAACATTTTAAACTTAAATTCTGTTTGTGCAATCCACACATTGAATCTGAGTTTGATAATAGCACCGCTAAAAGACACCTTAACGAAAAGTTTGAATGCGCTTGGTTCATTTGTATGAATTTTGGTATCGCCCAAAAAGCTGCTCAGAAACAATAAGGTGCTCAGAAACAAACAAGGTGCTCAAAAACAAACAACAAACAACAGCTCGCCAGCGCCACTTACACTCGTTTTCACTAATAGTTCCTGAAGCAGGCTTATTTCCCTTTTCCTATGACCCCACCGCTGGTGGTCGGCGAACCACGCTACTTTTTCAAGCATCTTTGAGGCGTTCCTTTCTGTTCCACTAAGAGTGTTTTCTTTTTTTTGCACCACAGTCTCAAGTGTTAAACGACATGATCAGCTACCACCAGCTCGCCTGCGCAATTGCAGTTTTTTCACTAACTTGGAGAGCACGCTTTAGAGCGGTTATTTTTGTTAGTTGTAAACCTGAGAAAGAATGTTTTTTTCTGTTGTTTTTTTTACTTAAACTCCACACACTCCGATTACAACGTCGCGAATTTGTCCGCACCGTTTCCACCGCCGTTGTCAAACCGCTTTCAAACTTTGTGCCACAAAAAAAGGCCAACTCACGTCCATGTAAGTGTCTCTGTCAGAAGGACTCTTCAAGCAGGCGTGCAGCCATTCTTTCTTTATGCAGCACGACTCCGGGACTTGATGATTCTGGTTGAAGTGAGAGTTCTTCAAAGCCCACACTTTGTACGGATCGTTCCTTGGAGGTATCCTCACTCCGCAACATTGGAACTGCGCAAAACAAAAAACACACAGGCACGTTTAACGTTCCGACGCGTGAAAAGCAGATACACCAGGAACGACACTGCTTCTTGCAGGTCGTATCGGTTAAAGAAGCGCTATTCCAACAGCGTACGGAATTGGAACTTCAACCAGTCCGGCGTTTTGCGTTCGTGTTCGAAAGCGTTTGAACAGTACAACGAATACAAAAAGCTGTCTTTTGTCTTCAATGCACTCGACGAACGCGTTAGGATTCGGAAAGGCCGGGTCCGGCCGGCGCTTGGTGTTCGCGTTCGAACCCATGGGGGAAAAAAGGTGATTTATTATACTAACCGCATAACAATTATTCAACAAACCTATAGAGAAACAAATATGAACAGTGCGACATTCACACCCAAGTTTCCGTGCATGAATGCGAGTTAAAAGTAAATAAAGATTACGGGCTGTTAAGTTACAGGCTATAACATTTAGGTGTTTAACACTGTTACTCAATCAGGTTGTTATAGTAAAATTCAAATTGCTCGTTTATTTTGTCCAAGATATCCGAGAGCGTGAAGTGATTTGCTAAGTTGCAACTGTTTATTTATACTGGCTACACGACGAAAACGAGTTTGGAGGCTTTTTTTTTCTTAATCTAGGTTTTGTATATATAGTTTTCCTTATAAAATAATCATCTTTATAGAGCGACTAGTTCGAAACTTACATGCTGTTGCACCGCATCCCAGGCGTCAGTGACGACGGAATCGTTCTTGTACATGGGGATTGACATGACCATCTCTTGGTACATCCGATCGTCAACCTGCAAGTGAAATGAGAATAATTGTTTAGAGCGAAATCCATGTGAATGTTCACATTGGTGTATATACTCTTAGCGTGCAACGAGAATATCATCGACGCATAAACAATCTATAGTCATCCTGGTTAGATGGATGGTATTGGTTACTCTTTTTATTGGGCGGTAGCTTGCGCCATCTAGCCGACCTATAGATAATGTGAGAACGGTGTTGCTTACCTCATTTCTGAAGACATATCCTAATATGCCTCCGACGAGCATGGTGATGAATATCATGAAGAGTATTATGAAGAACTGTAGAAGAGAAAACAATCATTGTATTAATAACTGTTTTTTGTCGCTAATTGCATGAACATAATAAGCACCTTCCACAGAAAATGAATAATTAGCACTGTGCTCACTAAAGATAGATTTCAGAGGACGAAAATTACCGTGAACGTTCCTAGCCTTGTTATAGGAACGTGTTTGTGCATGCACTTTTTATTGTATATTAGGCGTTGATTAAAGAATGTTTATTATGCTCATCGCGTGTAGATATATATATATATATATATATGTCGTTTTATAAGGAATATACAACCGCCATGTGTTTCTTGTTTTTTATACGTAAAGTTTTGATGTTCGTATGCACCCCACACCAGCTGGGGCCTGTTCGAGGCCTGCAGTACGTCTAAATAAATATATAAAATAAATATATTGATATAAAAATGTTACGGATTACATTCATTTGTTATACGCTGTTTACATTATTTCAAGGTAAACGTGGTCCAAACACTTCGATATCTATGCGGAGCTTTTCAGATAAATTATTTCTCTTAAATTAGCATAAAGATGTCTGGGGCTCAACCATATCAGATCGACGGAGCTGTCAAAAACGCTCAGTTAAAAAAAAAAACTGTCTCAAATTAGAAAACAAATAAATGAACAATGAAAACAGTGTGAATGCATCAAGCTATTTATAAAAAAGACGAGGATAAACATAAACTGCGATCGACGGTGCACCGCAATCGGAAGTCCTTTGCAGAAATATTTTTCGTTTTTCAATACATTCCAATAAAATAAAAGAAGTAAAAAAGAAAACTCCGGGACTTTGAATAATTTTTTAAAGCATAATTTGAATCAATAAAACTGTTTCTTCCAAAATTAAAGAAAACTAAAAAAAAAAATGTTGGCCATGAATAATGTAGGGTTTCCCCGATTCCGAGCCCTCGGAGAACACTACAACCTACTGAACGTCAACACCGAAACGAAACGCGCGCTTTTTGCCGTTATTTCTTTCTCGGCATCTTAGTGCGTGCCGAAAAGTATTAGAGGCACGCGACCAAAACGAAACGCATGCCCGAGAACGCTATGCCCGGCAGCCGTTTCCATGTCAACAAAGAAACACGGGCAGCAGCCCCCGCGGCCATTTACAACATAGTGGCAAAGCATCAACAGGCTGGATCAATATGCAGGAGCAATTTGGAGGGGGAGGGGGGGGGGGGGCTTGCTGACTTGGGTCGCTTCCAAGATGCCTTAGAATCGAATATCTTTCTTCGGTCCTTTTCCGAGGTATTATTTCCCACCACTAAGTGTCCTTGCCCCGAAAAGCAGCTGAAGGCCGCCGGCCGGGGTTGCACTATTTCGTCGCGTATTTCCTCTCCGTGAGAGCAAACCGTCGGGGAGTTCGGCAAAGCGTGTCGGCGTTTCCGCTTTTTTAAAGTTCCGCAAGATATATGTACTGGTTGCGACTTTTAAAAGCATACGAAATTTTACTTTGTCGGTCAGTCACAAAGCATTTAAGGGAAATGCACTTGAGTTAAAGGAGACCATGGTTCTATTTTCTCTGAATAAGACTGAGAACACAAGATATACTATAACTTTGACCCCCATTTATACGTCGTAGTTTGCTTTATGGTAAAATGTGTTGGATCAGCGATGTTAACTTGGTTTTGGGTTTAAGAGCGTTCTAACTTGGTTTTGGGTTTAAGAGCGTTAGATACGCGGATGTGCTTTGTTAAGTAAGTTCTCCAAACCCGAATAACGAATATAGCTAATGTGAACGGAAGAGAAGGGTGACGACTGCTTATGTATATATTTTCTAAATGTAATCCCAGAAAAATATGTTAATAGCGCGACTCCAGCTGATCCGTCAGTCCACCAAGAAATGCGGTTCTGATCAGAGCTAATATTCAAACGAAAAAAAAATATTCATGCTGCCAAATGTAGCTGGAAGTGTGATAGTAGGCGAATCTACAGAGGTAGTCAGAACGATACGACCGCCACGTTCTTTAAGCTCTGGGCTGTTCTGCACGCAGAACAGTCTGAGTGAAAGTTATTGGCTTTCTAAGATTGGATAGAAGGCTCGGAGTGTCCCAGTGCTTGTCTCATGGGAGCATTTCTTTAGGCACGCAAAGAGGCGATGCATATAACTTCCCCAGCACATTTGTGTTTTTGTTTTGCTTTTTATTGCTGCAGTCTTAGTCTGGTTTTCATCAGGCTAATCGTATTTCTATTCCTCTTTGTGGCAAGGCTTCCAATATCATTTGTCCTTACAAAAATAACTCTGAACGTGGGTGCATATACTCTATCCTTACGACGACCGCTTAGTAAACGAAAATGCATCTATTCCCTTTACTTTTCGACAAAATGCGTCATTAGCTTAGAAATGGGAACCGCGTTTTTCGCACCGCAAAAACAAAGTATGCATCGCCGAAAGTTAAGAGTCGTTCTCGATGCAGCGCTATAGAGTTCAAATAAGATTCCAGTATCTTAGAGCTAAATGTTATCGAATTCTAAAAATAGGAAGAATTTAAATAAAAGCCTTTTAATGAGAAAATGTCTGCCACGAGACGAAAAGCGTTAGCTGTCAATCACGAACGCCAATTTCTCGTATTCACTTTCCCAAAACCCTATTCGTACTTATTCAATGACCTTAAGGTCTGAGACTTCGGCACTTTAACTAAACCGTTAGATCTACACTCTGGCTGAGTTCGCGATTTCCAAAACGTCTTATTAAATTTCCGCGTTACAAAATTGTGTGGTACAAGTTTCTTGCCTTGCCTATATGCAATATCCGTAAGTCTTCAGTTGCGGTCCCTTCGGTTCCGTTCACGGATGTGCCAATATCATTTCGAATAACATAGCACTGCATCGTCATAGCCTTCAAAATGACAGGGAAAGCTACAACACCTGGTTCTATTAGCATTGTTGAAGCTAGGAATTACACTGCGCTATTGGGCTTAAACCGCTATTCGCCACACCTCTAATTCTATTCACATCTTCACCAGGAACAAGTTCACTATTTTTATGTCTCTGAATGCTACAAGCACCCAAAGGTATGGTCGGGTTAAGGTAGTTACCACCATAGATAGAACGAGAGGAAAGAGGGCTGAGGAAAAAGGCTAAGGGCTTACCGTAAGCAGCATGCACTTGATCTCTTTGAAGGCTCCTAAGCAGCCGAGGAAGGAGATGATGGTGACCACCACGCCGGTGGCTATCAGGATGGACGCAGAGCTGACATACAGGTCCGTGCCTAGGAGCCGCTCCATGAAGGACCGGTCGGCCAGCGTCCAAATCCCGACGGCGAACACCACCACCCCGCCAACCTGGTGGAGAAAACGGTAACAAGTGCGGCCCGGTGAGTCGAAGAACATACAATGCTCTGTAGTCAATGGCACCTTAAAAAAACGCAGGGAGTGACTTGTAATGTTCACGTTTGTAGCTTCGTTGACACCAAGCGGAAAAAGCACGCAGTACGATTGGTGTCTGGAAGGGGGAGTTGCGCTACCTCCTTTGTCTCCTCCGCGGTGAGTTTGCGCGGATGGTATCGCAATTCCACTTCCGGTCGAGATTCGCAATTCAAGTTTTTTTCCGCTGCATGAGGAAGACCCGCAGTAGAGGGCTACTGTGCATGCTAAGCATGAGAAGAAAAACGGCTGAAACATTTGCTCAAGTTATAAAAGACGTAGATGTTCATAAAGGTATCACGTTGAAACCACCGCATGCCTCTTCAGCCTAAATGTATGATAACGTTAAAGAAACCATTATGATCATTTGTTTCCCTCTGTTGTATTGCTGTGTTGTATTACTGCGTCATACTATGTACTCGGGTTATTTGCTTGCAACACATGCCTGCAGTACCGTATGTCTGGGTGTACATCAGAAAACGTTTTGTAAAATTGCCATGTCGTAATGTTGATGGCATTTTATTTACCCGCCTATTGAGCGCAATCAAGGATCATAATAGCCCCCGTGCAAGCATCTCATCGCCACAAAAACATACCCTTTCTATCTGACCTTTCATTATAAAGGATTGGTTCTTCGTCGTCAACGCTGACCGCAACCGACTCAATGACCTTCTACAAATACCAAAGGGCCCACATCCCCGAAAGTTTACCGCACACATATTCTCGCCTTTACTCCCACAGCGTCCGCTCAAATTGGAAGAACTTAAACCGACAACTACACCGCATTAAAATCGCCGTTTCTTCGCGATCTTCGCAGCTCAAAGCCGGGGAATCTCGAAAACAAAAACAAAAAAATGCCAGTGCACGGGTAGTGTCGTGGAGACCCCCGGACGAGACACCCATACACTTTTCCCGGGACTCGAGGGCAGGTCCTTCCATTTTTAATGTCCGTTGCCAGGGATCCCGGGACTGAGCCACGGGTCGGCCACACCCAAGAGCCCCAGATACGGGCTACGGCGTCGTGCTCTTCCCGAGTTGGCTCGACCGGGAAGCCGCTCATTATGTCCGCTCTCTTCATTTTCATCCCCGTCCCGGCCGTAGCGTCGCCGCCGTGTCGCTCGAAAGGGCAAGCTAGCTCCGACATTTTTTGTTCCTCTTCTCCTTGTCGCGTGATCGAAAGACAGGACATCGCTTTTGCTGGACACCGGTAACCAGGATAGTTCCACGCAAAGAGCTATTTCTCTGTGTGCAAAGTCTTCTGTGATCGTCCCTGACTCCACATAGTGTTTCCGGAGATTCACCCGGGAGGCGGTCACAGAAGGTTCTGCAGTGTCTTCTGTGGCCGTCCCTGACTCTAAAAAATCTTTGCGAGGTCATTCTGCAGACGGTCATAGACTCACAGAAGACTCTGAGAGACTTCTGTGACTATCACTTACCCTGCTGAATATTTGCAAAGTTGCTGGGCAGGCGGTCACAAAAGACTGCGCGGAGAGCCACCGAAAACTCTGCACGGTATTCTGTGAACGTAGCTGACTCTGCGGAGTCACCCCACAGCCGGTCATCGAGGACTGTAGACAGTCACAGAAGACTCTGCAGCCTTTTGTGACCGTGATAATTTGGATTGCAAACACTTAAAGATATTGTTCAGACAAGAGCGTATGATTGTCCACTCAAGGGGCACCAGAGCTTGCCATTGCCGCAAGGTCTACACTCTGAAATCTGAACAGTTGCAGATCGTATATTTTGTGCTAAAACGAAGCTCACTTTCTAAGCATGCACTCCCGAGACGTGTCGCCTACCGCCTTTCGATACAGCAATAATGGAAACAACAATCATTCATCTATAGGCCACTTCTAAAATAATAACTGACGCCAGAAGAGCCGGTTCCGGTGAATATTCATGTCACCGTGTGTGCTGAACACGAACAGCCGGTTAGTGCAATTTATCGAACGACACAAGCACGCTCTTGTGTCTTCGAAGAAGGGCACAAAGTTGCCAACTTCAACGTTTGAATACAGAGAGCCACTCCACTCTGCGGGCAATACCACAGAAGAGTACGCTACTATGTCCACAAATCCATGGTCATAAATCCCGCTCACGAAATCCGACCTCAACGTTCCGTCATCCCTATGAAAAGGTCATTCCACTGCAAAAAAAAAAAAAAAACGCGTTAATGTGACGCAACCGTTCGAGTACGCTCTCTCTGTTAAAGCTCGTCCTATGCCCTCCAGACTGGTCTAAATATAAATATCCAAAGCGATCACGGCGAGGCGAAAGCTGCTCGAGTGAAAGCAAGAAGGACCGCTACCAGTCGTGATGTTGCCCCGCGACTGAAGAGAGGAAAGTAGCCGAACGCACAAGAGAAAGAAACGGAACCTGACAGGTCAAGGTACTGCGCCAACGGGAGGCAAGGTCATGACGCAACCGACGTCTTTCCGGTCCGTCCGCTAGGAGGCCGCATCGGGGCGGCTAGAGCGCAGAGAGGCTAGATTTAAGAGGAGATGCAACCCCAACCATGGAAAGTGCTAGCGTAGAGTGGTTGCAAGTGCGCAGGCGTTGCGCAGGCGGAGCATTTTGAAGCTCTCCGAGATCTAGACTCTTTACTGGGCCGTTTACGTGAGCGCAGAACGGGACCAGAGCACGTAGGGGACGAGTCACGTCCGCGGAGTGTTCGTTCCTTGTGCTACAGATGCCTGGACGACGTTGCCTCTGGCTCATCGGTTGCAACAAGCACCTCGCGTCTTGTTTATGCCTCCTGGCAGGTTACTTCGTTATCTTGTTTCATAGCTGACGACGGGGAGGCAGTGGAATGCAAGAACGAAAGCTCAGCATGCTCGATGAGCAGCTCGTGCTTGTTTTACTTTCTGCACGAGCCTTTTATTTTCTGCCTCTATTATTATGTGTTTTTTTTAGTTGTTTCTTCCGACTTTATGCTGTAGTCCTCACTAGTCCTCACAGGCGTTTTAGTGATACGATGTGGTTCATGAATTCTAAGGAGCGATGTGAAAAAGGCCCCCTTCCTGATGATAAACATGCAATTATGAACGACACGTTTTCTGAGTGTTTACTTGTTTACGGTCAGTACTTCAGTAACCAAAACCGTAAATTACTACAGAATTCTCTAGTCACAAAAAAAAAAAGTTAAATGTCTGTACATTGGTTGCTTTTGTAAATATTACCTACCTTAATGACATGTTATTTTCTGGTACAAGAGGAATTAAAAAAGAAAGCCCACATAATAGCACCCTGTATTTCACCGATTCGGAAGGTTCGCCACATGGGACCAGGTTAGGGCGTGTGTCGGTCAAGTCTGAACACATCACCCTCCTTAAGTAACTTCCCTCCAAAGTGTAATAGCTCAAAAATAAAGTAAAACCCCGCTAGCGATAAAAACCTCCGGTCGTCGACTCGACAGCGGCAATAAAAATGACAGTAAACTGGAAGTACCATTAGCGCAGCGGCTCATCGCGTCAAAGAGGTGTCACTGGCCTGAGAAATTCCCGACTGAAATGATCCCAGCAAAAAAAGGAAAATTAAAAACAAAAACAAATAACGTTTCAGGTACTCACCATAATGATGAAGTTGGCCACGAAGAGAGCATACTTGACTACTTTCCCGCACCCCTCCAGCATCCTGGTATCTGTAGGGGAAAAAAGAAAAAGAATGCGGCTGAGTATTTGCACGAAGTCAAAGGGAGCACGGGAAGCTCGTAGTACGGTTAATGTTCTACGAGGGTCGTGAAACACCAATTTATGCCGAAGCTGTATTTTTTTACATATATTTTGGCCAGAAACAATAATATCTATCGAACAGCCGAGTAGCCGTAGGGAAATTTTATAGAGTCTTCCAAACTCTGGGCCAGTCGTGTTGTATAACCTCTATCTGGCATCCTTCCGCATATGCTTAAACAGTGTACAACTTTCTAAAAATATTAAACGTGCAAGTGCCTAGAACAGGATAAAAAATCAGAAGTTGGTAGATTCCTCTCCATACACCAGTTGGAACAGAAATTCGTCGAAGTCGTGGAAACGGAACAAGCAGAGAGATAGATCATGTTTCTTTTTTTTTTCTTTTTTTACCAGGCACAAATTGTTTTTTTGTTTTTTTTAAGATTTGAATTTGGCGCGGAGGGTTCTACATTGGCAAACTGATGTTCCTTTCAGCATCATGATACAACGCCTGAGAATGATTCCATGAATACATTGCAGCACCGAGCTAAATACAGAAGGCAAAAAGTTGTTCTTACAATCTCTCACCACTGAAGACTTTTTAAAATAGTTTAAAAAAGCTCCACCCAAAAATTAAAAAAAAAAAAAATTGTATTGTTGGCAGGGGCTTTAACAGAAAACACCTTTTCGCAATTGGAAAAAAATGCTTTCTCTTGTCATTATCCAAAAGAAAGCGTCATTCCAAAAGTTTCATGATCATAAGATCGGCGGATTTATACATCCATCGCCCACGCACACAAAAAGAAAAATATTAAAAAAAAACCAAAACTCCGTTAGTTTATTGTCGTTCTCCTAACTTCATTCACACACCAAGCGGAAGTAACGTCGTCGTCACGAAGCGACTCGCCGCGACCAGTTCACGCACTTCTTGCACAACCCGAACAACTTTCTCTAGACCCGGAAGATCTAAACGCCAAACACACACACACGCACAAAAACAAAATATTAATAAACCTACTCGTCCCGCCCCTAAACGACCCCTCGAGTATTCCCCGTTTCTTGCTTGCTGCGTTGACTTTGAGCGTCGGGTAACGTTCTTGCAACAGCCGTCACGCTCGGCGAGCCCAGAGGTCGAGGCGAAACTTCCAAGGGGGAATAACTGAATATCTTAATACCTGGCCCGGTCGCGATGCTGCTTCACTTCCCTTACGTCACTCAAGTATGTCGGCATTGCGAACCGTGTGGGCTGAGAGGCGACGACTTTATCGTATTCGAACTAATTAAGGGGGGGGGGGGGGGGGGGGGCTAAATAATGATGTGGGCGGAATTGGCTACCCGGAATCTGACGCGATATTTCAGCATGACATATACCGCCATGGTCGGTATTTTCCGTCGGTGTCTAAGAGATGACCCGCGGGGTGCGCCGAATAATACGTCTGAGCACTAGAGAAAATTCACTTAATGCTCGACACTTTTAGTGTCTAATTGCGGGATATGGCGATTTTCACGGGGGTTGCGCAAGTTCTGAATTGTTGCGCGGCGTAGAAACTGGGGAGCGATTGTTGGGTTCTTGTGTCGAGAGGCAGCGTGGGAGTGGCTAAAATTTCGTAACGAGCATTCTCGCGTCGTCTTCTATGTCTGATCGCACACGCTATGTTCAGGTGCTATTATCTTAACAATAACTGGAGGTATTGTTGGGTAAGCACGCCCCTTACGACTAATCTTTTGCATTACGTCCTCAACCCACGCAGAGTATGGGAAGGAACCCAACCAAACGCAACGGATAATTGAATATAGCAAATATAATTTACTTCTTGAAAGGAAAACAAGCGCTACGCTGTACCTTCCTGTTAATGCGTTATAACAATTCTGAATTACATAACCAGTGCAAAACAATTACCAGAGCACCGAACGAGAAATCAATTGCATCATAGCGTAAATGCTATAAGCCAGAACTATATTTACATTTTTTTTCAAAATATCAATTGGGATGCTTAAAGTTTTGCAAGCTGAACCGAGATTAAAAACCCTCGTGTCAGAAGAAATCACCGAAATGCATTTTTTAAAAGTAAGATCTCCAATGATAGCGAACATTTTGAGTATATTTATGTTTATACAACCAAAAAAAATGATTTAACGATAAAATTTAAATATCACTTGCAGACGACGTAAGACTCACCGAGGTGTTCGACCATAGCATCGAGAAGAGCACCACTACGCGACGGTTTGAAGCTCGCCTCTTTCGACGGACGCGCTGGGCGGACCGTCTTCAGACGGCGACCCTAAAGACTCAACTGAGCCGACTCCGATCGGAGCAAGAGCCGTGTGGAAAGACGCGGTCAAAGCCAAAACAAAATCCACTAAGATCGAAAGAAAGAAAAAAGAAAACCGCCCCGATCCAGGTGAGTACTGCATCGACCCGTGGCCGACGCCCGCACGCCATCGCGCGAGACGCTTTCAGCGAAAGGGCCGTTCGATGACGCGCTAAGCCGACGATCAAGTCGTCACATGGCTCGAAAGATGAAAGACATTATGTCGGGATCAGCTAAATAGTAATTGCAGACGTAACCCTCTAAAAAATCGTTAAATAAATGTGGCACTTGTTTGTGTGTGTCATGCTGGAACGCTAGAAAGCAGTCTCAAACTTTGGAAGCGCATACAAGTGTGTGAGCGCGATGTTTGTCTTTGCAATTAGCAACCTCTGAATGGCTACCTTATCGGCATCAGCAACTCTAAGATCACGCAACGGCAGTATCCTACCGATCGTATCATCCTGTGCCATAACGGTCATTCCACTCCTGTCTAAGAGCGCTACAGTTGACTGCTATCCGTCTTCGTGTCGTCTTGAAGAATGATTATGAAAGATTGACTATAATACGCCAGTGACACGTGATTAAATTTATCGCAAGGAACCTTTCATAAAGATTTGCAGTGAGGTCGTACAGGCTCCAAGTGACAACGAACCTAAAAGAAAACCGGTTTTGAAGTATGCGAACAGTCTCCAAATATAGCCCCAACATCGCCTGCCCGTTGTATGCAAGTTACGCGCGGGCAACCTGTCCAATTTCAGTATGCAAATCGCTGATTTTCCTCCAGACGACCTTCTGTCGGAAGTATGCGAGAGCCGTTGCGCAACGAAGGACTTGTCAAGTAACACGTACGATAGCGTATGGAGACATAACTGATAGCATCTGCAACGCTGCCCGGAGGTCACAAGACGTGTACTGGTACGGTATATGGCCACTTCGGCGAAGGTCTGCGTACGCTAAGCGTCTATGTATCAGGCTACGGGCGGCAGCTTGGATAACACTTGGAAGCGTACCATGGATGCGATCGTTCACCAAGGCGGCCTCGGCGGAGCGATGGCCTTGGTATACCACGAAGGTTACTTACGGCTCACCGAAGACGCAATAGACCCGTCGTGGAACATTAAGGGACAACGGTTAGCAGATCGCAGACAGGAGACCTTTGAGATCGATAACCGTTCGGGCATCAGGTAAGAGCGCGCGCCTTTTTTTGTTCCATTGTTTCCGTTCCGCTTGGTCAGCGTTCGGCGACAAAGGACCTGGAGCATAACCGAGAGCAATGACCCAATCGATATATTCCGAGGGGGAGCCCGGCAGTGATTGGACACAAAGTCACGTTCACCAAGTTCTGCCGGCAAAATTGTATTCTTTTTTCGTTTTTTTTTCTTTTTTTTTTCCCCCTTTTTGCCAAGGAAAGTGGATGCAGCTTTCGATTGGCTTCTTGGCTGCGTGGCGATGAATATTTTAAGATACGCAAGAGAAGGACAGCGGTGAAGGCCTTAAGTCAACACAAAATGAATAACGATCCTCGTCTGACCGCAGATCATTCCCGGTTAATTGTTTTGCTTTTCTCCACGCTAAGCCTACAACATTGTGTGATCATTACTGAAACTTGGAAGCTGTGCTGAATAGAAGGCAACTCCTCCAGAACCTAACGAGGTTTCGAAACCAACGCTGAAGACAACTTTTCGAAATATTTTGAATGATCCGAGAGCAAGTCCTTTTACTCCGGGCGTATACATCGCAATGATACGGTCGCACTCAAGTGGCATCCCACCAAAAAAACAAATTCCACCGCCCGCATTTCACGAAAGCGGCAAGCAAAACTTCTGAAACAACATCACACGCGTCGCAAGCACCCGAAACTATGCCGCCCTTTCGGCTAAGCCTTGAATTTCCCGCAACTTAAAGCAACCGGCAGAACGAGGACATAAAACGTTTACGAGACAAAATAACTCGACCGCATACCCTTATAGAACCAGGACTCGTCCATGCCACGCTGCAATGTCGCCGCCGCTAGTCACGGGTAAGACACCACACCTTTGGGGCACGCAGACAGACTTCCACTCGTCTCGAAGACAACCGGCGCAAATGCGATTCCACAGCACTGGCTGCAAGATCCCCGCGCGCGCGCACTTTCGCAACCAAACTGGTAAGGTTTACCCCCGTCTGACGGATTCACGCTGCAAAGACGGATGTGTAAGAAATTGCGATAAAAAGAAGAAAATGCAACGCTAGAAAACCCCAAGTGCAACGAAGCTGCCACTGAGACGCAACACCATGTAGGGACTGAAGGCGTTGTTAGTCTGAATTTGGCAAAGGGTATGATGGGGACGATTTGCTATACCGCTACCAAGGCCCTACGCCTGTGAGGCTTGGCCGCATCGCCTGTCTGGAAAGCACGCCTGTTCGAACCTCTCCACATCCGGTGGCCTTGAAACTTTTAGAGTCACTCGCGTAATGAATGATGACACGCGGTGGTCGGCGCTGCTGTCTTCCGCGTCTCTAAGATGGTACTTGATATTCAAAATTAATTCATGTGATTAGTTTGACGGCCACGCAACGGAAGCGAGAAGTGGTGTTGAAACATTGAGCCGCAAACTTTTCTGAGGAACCCTTTTTCCATCAATCTTAAAAGGTGTCAGGATGGGGGCCTGGCTGCTCGG